TATATATATATACATATATTCGAGCCTGTAAAAATGTGAGAGTTTTAACATGTCTATATTTCCCCTTACCATTATGAACTGGTAACTACAGGAGGTTACACGACAAACACAAAATAGAAACCTAGACAAACGAAGCAAACAGTATAACTTCGCAAGGATCTAATCCTTACATGTGAAGTATGCAGTGTTGAAAGTGGCACTTCTGAGTTATTTCAACATGTGGATACAGCTCCTCAACAACATGAAGGCTGTAGATGGAGCAAAACTTAAAATCAGTATCCATGGTGCTGAAGACAGGAAAGGGATATTTTAAATAAAAATTTTCCCTTTGCTAGTAGTAAGAGTGCAACTGGTAATGATAATTTCCCTTGCCAAATTAACATACACAGGATGCTTTTTAAAAAGCAAAGCATATAGGAAAACAAGCAGAGAAACCAATGTAAACTTTCTAAACTAACTCAGCTGAGGTAACAAGTAGCCAATTTAATTGGCTGAATGGGAAACTTTTTATTTTAAACACAGTTGTACCTGAACTGGGAACATCAGCAGTGCATTATAACACCAGATCATTTCCATATAATTAAAGCAATGGATGGTGATGTAGATTCTACAGCTTTCATGACATTCATTAGCTGCCCAAATTATTGCTGAGTTTTGATCTGTAAATTATAAGTGTCAAGGAGGCTGTAAAACTATATTCAGATTAAATCAATAATGCGCATAAAGAATTGTGTTCACCGCAAATATATTAAATATACAGCTCTTACTAAGCTTTTTTTAAAAAAATTAACCCCCCCCAAAGCCCAAAATTATAATGCCTTTTGCTGTAATTCTTTTTACACCATTGTGTATTTGATAGTACACAGAAGTTCAGGAACTAAGGAACCTCAAGAAATATTACATGCAAAATGTTTCTGAACGCAGTTTGCACTTCTAAACAATACTGAAATGTTCGGTCAGTAATTACTGATGCACTCACTCAACACTGTGTTATTTACAACAAAATAATGAAAGAATAAATTGAAAATCAGTTTATAATTTAAGTGCAGAGTCTGGGGTCAGTCTTCATCACTAGATTCCGAATCCTCAGACGAGGAGGACGTACTGTCGGAGCCAGAAGAAGCGTCGGCTTTCTCTGAACCCTCATCTGTGCTGTTTCCGTTGCGAGAGCTCGGCGCTGTTTCCCTCTTGACTTCTTCGTCTTGAACCCTAGAATTTTCTTCCTTTTCTCCTGGAGGCTTAGTTAAGCCTGTGCCGTGATTTTCATTGTTCTGTACATCAAAAATATTCGATTGGGACAAAGCTGGGATATGGAGATTAAGGCCTGGCGTGAGAAGCATCCCTGGATAAAGTATATTGGACAACAGTAAAGGGTTAAGAGTTAAGGAGCTGGCGGCTGTGCTGGCAGCGGATGACGTAGAAGGAGAACCTGACACAGAGTTTTCTCCACCGTTATGTGCATTTGGGCTTTCTGTCCTCTCTTTCTTTCCGTCCAGCTCTCTGGAGTCGTGTCCTTTTTTCTCCTCAGAAGCAGATTCAGCAGACTTTGTTAGGAGTCCTCGCATTCCTAGCAGATTTGGTAAACCAGCCATTCCTGAAAGCAACATGGGAAATACGGCAGCCATGTTTTTTGCATCGCCGGCAGTGTTCAGACCAGCAGATATTCCCATTAAACCTGTGGTCACTTGTAATGACTGAAAATTTTGCAGGTTTTGCTGTAAGGCCTGGAGAGTTGAGAGATCCACACCTGGGAGCAGCCCGTTGGTCAGCAAAGGGGCGACTGGGACGTTGGCCGCTGATGTAGCCGCAGCTGCTGCCTTGGCAACTTCACTTTTGGGCCTTCTCCCTCTCCGACTTACTTCTTCTCGAACAACAGGTCCTGTGAGAATACGGTCAAACATGCTTTCAGGAAGAAATCCCTGGTGGGGAAGAGAAAAAGTTAATGATTTCATTTTGCGCAATTGTGAATACATGCAACCCTGCCATAAATAAAATAAGCAACACGAAGCTAATACAAGGTTACATAGGTTATCTCAGTAATCTTCAAGAAAAGTGAATGCTGTGCCCAAATGCTTCAATTTAAGACCTTTGGAAAAGCACTTTTTGTGGCTAACGGTTCATTGCATTTGTTAGCACAGCAACTAAGGCTCAAGACTTTTGAAGCTTTTACCAGACTACCTAAAGAATGGAATTTTAATGATTCACTGTTAATCTTCCTTTTTAGCTGCTGGAACCCCTATTAATTGTTATACTCACCGATTGCTTAACAACATCTGCCCATTCAGGAGCTACACCATATTCAGAATTTTCTTTCAGGAATCTGCACAGATCTTTCAGAGGAGGAGCAAAAGCACCGCCCACCTACATCAGGAACATGAAAAGATATTGCTCAGCTGACCTGTGTTGTATTTTTAGTCAAACGAAGAGCCAAACAACTATCTGTGGTCTATGGTAAAACAGTTACTGCAGCAATGCAATTACCTTTCTAGCATTTCTTCTGTTTATCAGCTGAACACGTTCTTCCCCAGTAAGGCTATTGATGTCCAGCTTATTAGGGTTGCGGCAACGGTGCCTTTTTTGTTTCGGTCTTCCTTCGTGAAGCTGCATTTTCTGTTGTTCAAGATTTTTTAAAAAAAGAGTCACTAAATGCTGTTAAATCTGTTTTCAAATATTTCCAGGTTGCAGTCTTATGCACATGTAAGGACAAAACTAAATCACATGGAATCCGCTGGGACTTAAATTCAGGGCCTGTATCAGCACAACATATTGCCGCCCAGAGTCACTTTGTGCGAGATGGGCAGCTTTATAAATATGATAAATAAATAAATATTTGGTATCACATTCCATAATAGGCTAAATAGTTCCATTCAATTGTGCATATACTGGCTCCCAAATAAAAATATACATTGAAAGATGTGAATTACTCAGAAGGCAGGATGAATTCAAAGACCACATCAGAGGTACAGAAAGAAGCGCATTGCTTTCCATTACACCAACAGAACTACTCACAGGGATAAAGGCTCCTAAATCTTCAACATAGTCAGGATGTTCATTAAGCCATTTTTCCAAATCTTTTCTTTTAGGGGCATCATCACCTGCAAGTCTTGTACCATCTTTTAAATTAATAACTGGAACCGGGCTTTCTGCATCACACAGGCCTTGCGATTGTGCAAATGGAAGTGGGGGGGTTATGCCCAGACCAACCTGGGGGGTAGTAACACCATGACAAACCTGAAAGAAAAGAAAAATGTTATAAAAAATACGTCATGAGGAAAGACAATATCCTAATTACATATTCAGCTTTCAATTGCGCAAATGTAGAAATCTGCTTCACAAACATATATGCATATATATCGATAGCACAGGAGTGGCTGGATAGCATAGTGGTTAGAGCACCACCCTTTGATGCGGGAAAGTGGGGTTCGAATCCTAGCTCGTAGCTACTTAATCAGTAGAGGTCCTTGGGCAAAGACCCCCTAATGCTTCACCTGCCTACCTTGGATATGAGAGTGACACAATCTAAGAAAGTCATGCTGGTTCGGACATCACTGGGATTAACAAGGTCTGTGCTAGATGTTGGGGAACCAGGACAACCTGACGATAAGTGGGCTACTGGAACAAACCATACATGGACAAGACAAGAGAACTTGGAACTGATGGAATGCTACTACAACAGCAGACCTAATGAAAGGGAATATATGAAAAGTATGAGGAAACTATGGGTGGACAGAAGATCTACGTCCACACTAACTGAGAAACAGCTAGTTATCCAACACTTCAACAAAGTGAAGAGGAAGCTGCTCTCACAACTTGAGATAGACAAACTACACATTAAATCACAGACTCAAGAAGACCTGGAAGAACAACTGGATGTGCAGCCAACA